ATAAGAAATCTTCCTACACTGGAAATTACCGATGAGCATGTTGGTAAGTAAAAAGGACTAAAAGCAACAAACGTTTAGCAGCTAAAACTCTAGACATTCAGACCACTGCACTGTCTTTGCACGGTGGGTAAGCTAATTTCCTGGACATTTTTTATCCACACAATTACCTTGACAAGATGGTGTAAACATGCAAGCATTAGGCTAGCGCTTCGACAAAGTTTTCCATTGCCAACCGGAGCAAGATTTTGAAGTCTTTTTCAAGAGTGTAGGTGTTTGTTTGTGACTGACATTTTATCAATAATGAATACGGTAAATCCCCAACAGAGCAGCCTGATAGTAGAAGTTCATAATACTTTCTTTCTGTGGGGCAAATCTGTTCACATACTCTGTGTACCTGACGTTTTCACACACTTCTTTTCAGCTTCAGGACTGGAATGTTCAGTGTGTAAAGAAGATTACAGCGTTGGAGAAAACGTGCGACAGCTCCCGTGCAATCACATGTTTCACAATGATTGCATAGTCCCCTGGCTGGAACAGGTATTTCACGTTATCCTACCCCATTTTCCCTTCTGTTTACTGTAAGCGTTACACCGGTTGGTGTTTGAAACAGGGTCACGAAGGGTAAACATCCATAACACCCCCGTGTTTGTTTTCTGCAGCACGACACTTGTCCAGTGTGCAGGACGAGCTTGACTGGACTGAACACGGCAACAAACCCTCCAGAACTCTCAGAGATGAACTTTTCATCCTCCCCTTCCTCCTCCTTGTCCTCCTCCTCTTCGTCGCCATCCTCCTCCTCCACCTCTTCTTCCCCTCCATCCTTGGATTCCACCAGCAACGAGAGCTCCACTGATAACTCGTAGGCAGGGTATTTGTATCCGTCACCTCATGAGCCGGTTTCTGCTCCTCGGCTGAGCAGTGACCTCCAGTCCCTCCCTGCTGTAGGGCAGAGGCCTGAGTGCATATCACCAGGATCACTCAGGCCTGTTTCAGGGGTAAGTGATACATGTGTTTATGTATTTTTGCCCGCTGTGTCCCCTCCGTGCCCCCACCACCACCACCACCACCACCTTCACCGGGAATGTGAACAATGGAAGGGCAGACGCCTGCGGTGCAGCTTCTGACTGGGAGGATGTGGAAAAGCGTGAAAACTTCAAGAGATTCGTGGAGCTCAAAGCACCTCTTAAAAGAGGAGAATCCAAAGGTAGAAGACCAGGAGCGCCGAGACAATAACCAGTGTTTTTTCAAACCTCCAGCCTTGGTTGATATAATACGACCCACTTTTGCGATAGACAAAACGTACGGGTGTTCCTTTTGGTAATAAGTCGCGTTCAAATCTTTGAGTGCGCAGCTTCAGTGTGCATTCAGATGTATTTATGGTGGTGAACGAATATTACTCTTCAGTATCTTTCCAATTAAAATTTACAATAGTTTGTAGAATTGTTTATTTTGAACAAGCGATTTTTATCTGATGAGTTGCAGTGGTTGTTTGAATAAAACTAGTCTTTCTTTAAGGTCCAGTCCGCGCTAACCTAAGTATTTTTAAAAACTGAGTTTTCTTTTAATCTCAGTTGCTGCAGTTTTTGGTGACAAAATCGAAGCATTACAAAAAAAACAAAAAACAACAACAACAAAAACAGTTTGTGATTTAAACGTGCACGCTAGATGTATGGAGGTTTTTAAATGCTAACACAGAGGCCCAAATTGCCTTTTTTTATTTATTTATTTATTTTTTTTTTGCAAAAGCACATACGCAGTGAGGCAGTTAAAATTTTTTTCCACATCTGCCTTTTCTCCTTACCCTTTTTCCATGTAGCTTCAAACTTAAGCTGCTGAAGGTATTTTTGCTGCGCTCAGGTTGTCTTGGAAGATCAAACGACTACACACTCTGATTGAGAGGATTCCTGTTGCAAATCAGAAAACACTGGGTGCTAACATTTTTTTTAGCAATACACACCAATGATACATTTCTCATGATATTCAAACTCAAAAGGAACCCAGATTCGTTAGAGAACTACAAGGGAATACAAGCCATGAGAATTGTTTAGTCATGTCAATATCTCCTATCTGCATCTACGCCTGCAGGATACTGAATTGAGAGCCGCTCTACGAGCGAGGGGGTAATTCACGAATTTGAATTGGCAAAATTGTCTTGCTAACAGAGATCTCTTAAAATCTGACTTCAGAGAATAAAGAAGCACTACTTAAAAAGACTAAAATGTATGTTAGAGGACAGAAACTAGAGCTGAATCTTTAGCCCAACTCTGCTTTTGCTGTTCTATGGATCTTTGGGGTAGTATTGTTGTAAATATCAACATTTTGCTACTTGCTGGCAAACATAGGTCTTTAAACATTTTTCAATTGGAATTTAAAGATTCAGAGATAAAGTATCAGTTACAAAATATCTATAGCAAAATAGCTGGGGTGTAAAAAAAAAAAAACTCATTAGGATTTGTGGGAATCATGTCTAATTCTTGCATAGTATTAAAAATGCATTTTTATTTTATTTTATTTTAATAAAGTTATTTACTAATGTCTTCGGTTGAAAAGTTTTCAATTGCAAACATGACTATGTAAGGAAAGAAAATGAGCACTATGGATTTTAATATATGTATGCATATGTCAAGACCAAGTCAAGCATGCTTAATTGCTGTATTGTAAAATAACAAGCAGCAGTGCTAGAAGAACATTGATGTTGACAGATTTACAGTTGTCTTTGACGTTTAATCTGTTTAGTTCCAATTTTAGTCATTTTTCCCCCTTAATATCTTTAAGACATAAAATAGGATAAAGTTTGGGTTTTAGGTACTTTTTAAAACTAGTGATTTAAAGCCAGCAGAAACTAAGAAACCACAAGGATGTCCCTATTTACTCATCACAGGATAGCCCCCCTAAGCCTCATCTAGTTTTACTTTTGATTAATCTCAAAGTGCATCAATATGCAACCTATTTTTCGATGCATCTCTGAACAGTGCATGCAAAAAAAGAACTATTCCATGTAAGAACTATTCCATGTAACTATTCTAATGTGTTTTAACTGCTGTTTGGTTGGATTTGATTAGACTGAGTTTGTGGCATTGTTAGTAGAAACCTTTTTATTTAGCATTTCTAAGCTGTGCAAGATGTGGGATGGATGGAATAAAAAAAAGGATATTGTGATGATTTTTTTTTTTTTTAAATAAACACGTCGAGGTCTTTGGTTTGCAGTCTTAATTTATGTGTTCCTTTCATCGTTCTTTGCACTCTCAGAACAATTGAGGAACCATAACCTACATTAGCAAAGCTTTTGAACCTTTTTTCAATGCATAATAAGGCTTTGAGATAATTTTGTACTTTCAAAGTGATGACTGGTCCAGTGGGATGCAAAATGCAAACAAACTCTGTATGAAATCTTTTACTCCTGCACTTGCCTGATAAATATCATCAATAAGCAAACTACACTTCTGCTTCCTTTTATTGTTTAGCAATATGTGTGCATTTCCTCTACTTTGTACCCCCCACCCCCTCCCCCATTCTCCTCTGGGACGTCAGGTTCTAAGGCTTTAATCCGAAGGGATTGTTGTGGTGGACAGAACACTTGTGGATACACACAAACAAGCACGTTTGAATTATAGCTTTGAGATTGATTTTACAATGTGAAAATGAATCTATGTTCAGCTTCACATTATTGTGGATGTGAAGTGTTTGTGCCAGAGACTGCACCCTGGGAGGCTCATTTATAGTACAATTACATCAAGTTGAGTGCTGCAAGTCAGACTCTGCCTCTAAAACCTCCTGTATTACTTTATTGGGTTTGTTGAAGCTTGCAGATCCTTTTTATATAAGCAAAGGTTGTTAGAATTCAATTTATTTATTTTTTTGCAGAAAATTAAGAATTCTATGACAGTATCTAAACGGCAGTCTTAAATAAAACTATGTCTAAATTAATTTATTTTTAACTAATCATTTAAATATGTCGTGAGACTTTCTTCTCTAAAGTTGAAAATACATGCCTGCTCCATTTATTTACAGCCGTGGTAAAGATGATTAAAACCTTTTACATTTATTTTATTGCAGTAGCAAAACGTTGCCCTGAAGATGTTGGAAAAATCCGAAACAAGATGTTGGCACAAATGTTTTTTTGTTTTTTTTTTCAAAATCACTTGATGGTCCAGTTATTTATATGTAGTGACTCCTTTAAAATAAAGGCATCTAATGGATTTTCTTACCTTGGATATTTGAGAAACTTTTTAGTAAATCATTTGTTTGTTTCGCTTACTATGGATGATATATCGATCTGTCAATATGTATTTATGAAGCAATTTTCAAGATGCCAGGTTTAGCACAAGCTTTTTAAAGAACTTAAAAACAAAATACAAAACTACTAGAAATCCATTTGAAACAATTAAGTAAAAGATAAAACAGTTGTATTGATAGTGAAATGATGAATTAGAAATGGGAGATGAGTAAATCATTGGGGATTGAGTAAATGTAGAAACATATACAAAGGTTGTGCAATAAAGAATGATCAAACATATTTGAACTGGCTTTCTCAAGATAGATTTCTTGAGAAAGCCCATGATGCTCCTTGAAATTGGAAATTAAAATCATGTTCATGAGAAATATGGCTGTTTCTATAAAACCATCTTTAAAAAAGGACTCAATTATAAGAAAGAGTGGCAATCGATTAAAAAATTCTGGCTAATTTTCTTTAATACAACGGAAATACAATTCATCCTAGCAAATTTGTTGATTTATGTTCCATGTATTATGTCTCTAAAATGGTGTCGATTAGAAGTCAGTTCTTTAGTTACAGTAAATGGTTAAAAATAATGGAACGCGTTCGCTGCGCCACGCCCATTTGTTTTTACGTCATGCGTACGTGCTGATAAGGGCGTGTGCGTAGAGGACGACCAAGCACATCGACTCATTGTCGGCATTGAAGATTCGGCTTCAAGACCGGGGAGGCTCGCGGGAAAAAGTAGACTTTCCCCCGCAAACAACCTCGCATCGTGTTTATTCGTGGTGAAAATCGTTAATAGTCATCAGCTATGAAGTTGTTGTGGGCTCTCGCTGCCCTACTTTTATGCTGTTGGCGAGCCGACGCGTCCACAGGTAAGAATTGTGTCAGCCATGTTGGTTCAGTGTAGACTTTGCCCTGACTATGAACATTTTGTTTTGCTCGCCGTCCTCAAACGGTTTTCATCGTTGTAAAACGTACAGTGGCTATTACAAAACAAAACTAACAAACACACACACACACAAAAAAAAAAAAAACTATTGGAATGTTTGAAATCTTCTTTGGGGGGTTTGAACGGGTGTGTCTTGTTGATGTACCGTTGAAACGTTTAGCTAATTTGCGGTCGAGAAGGCTAAAGAGCGTTTTATGTAAACCGTCTTAATGACTCGGCGTGATGCTAGAAAATCTGCGTTTTGTCGCTTTAAAGACGCGCCTTAAACTAATAAACGAATGAATAATCTAGAAAGACGTTTTTTTTTTCTTTATTGGGGAAAATTAACAGCGTCCTCCGAGTAACTAGCGCCCTCTGAGCTGTGGTAAAATTAACCTCAGATTGCGTAACGTTTCAGATGATTGCTTGCGTTACTAACCAGATTATCTGTCGGTTTTTAATTTAATGGATTCCATTGGGCACCATCTTGTGTGTTAAAAGATCAGTCTATTGCTGTAAGCTTTACGGTGCGACTCAATTCTTTTGACACGCAGCTGACTTGCGTTTACAATCAATACAGGGGAAAAAAAAGAATATAAAATGATACAAACATGTACTGATATAATTAGATTCGCAATTTATCTCTCTAAACGTCACTTTGATTTCTATGATGACGTTGAATCCAAAAAGACACTTTAACTACCCTAAATAGCTCCCCAAAACTGTTCAAACAGAATTCCAGCAGTAGCATTTTCTTGCATTCAAAATAGTTTGAACTTTTTCTTCAAGGTAATCCTTGAAAAGGCTTGATTATGCTAAGAATCATTTTGACACAGTAACGGTTGACTTTATCTTGGGGCAGCACTGGTCGACTTGCAGTAACTTAATCAAAATAATCTTTATTATTTTGTGTAACAACTGGTTGGGAATTCTTCCAAGCTCATTTACATAAACTATGAGCTTCTAAAAAATTTTACATTTTTTTGGTGTGTCTATGTCAGCACGTTTTTGCTGGCTAGGAATGTGTCCAACCCACTGACACCCTTTAAAAAAAAAAACTTGTTTTAAAAGGGTTTTACTGTGCACCAGCCTTTCAGCGGAAATATAACACAAGGGCTACAGATTTTAGTTTTTAAGTGTCGTTTTCCATGGATTTAAAAATGTGAAAAATGCATTTTTTCACATTTGAAATGTGTGACGACCAGTAAATCAGGTTTAATTAATGTGACAATGTGAAATGTCACATTCCACATTGTTTTATTTATATTTTGCCCCTCTTAAAGTAATCTTTTAAAATAACTGTTTACTTCAGACTGTAGCGTAACCTATTTGAGGTACATTGTCTTTGCTGCCCTCACTCAAATGTCAAATACTAATTTTGGAAATTTGAACTTTTAAAAGAACTTCAAGCACTAAATCCTTTAATCTAATGTTACAGAGCATATGGTTAAAATAGGAAATTGCACACAACCAAACTTTACTGTAGACTTCTGCTTAATTTGAACAGCCATGCTGCACAAGCTCTCAAGGTGACCTTTGGTAATGGTGGAAAGTTGCAAGATATGTACAGTGCCTGAAGCATTTTTTGACAACCAGAGATCCCTCTTGTGACCTGCTGACATTTTGCATTTGGTCAAAGGTTATGAGGACGGCTTCAGTCAAATGTTTATACACAGTGCTTTAATATTAATAGACGGTGTGGTTTGTCAATAGCATATTCTGTTTGGGAATATGCTTTCTGTTCCACTTGCCATTCAGCCATACGGCTCTGCTCTGTAAGGGTACATGGAGGTCAGCTATACTTGTGGAAAGGACAGGAATCCTAAATCACCCCAGCAGGCCTTTATTACTTTGGAGCTCTACTTTTCATACTTGCTTGGCTACATGGCATAATCGTTGTGACTAATTAAACCTGATTTACTGGTCGTCACACAATGGCCGAAAATATTTTCTGGCTTCTCCAAGTGTTTGTTTTTGGACGAGCAATTTGAATGTGCAGAAAATGAAATGGATGTGATCATGCACGACTCTTTAAAAACTTTGCTAATGCAGTGATTCTAGTTTGTGATATTTGCCATTCCTTTGTTCTGTAATGATGTGTGCAAAGCCTCCATTAAATCAATGGCATGATGGCCTAAAAATATCTAGTGTTGACCTAGATTGACAGTTACGGTTGAGCAAACCTGGCACAGCTATCAACAAACTCTATTGGCTCTAAATGTTTTTCATACATTTTCACCATTTTTTTTTTATCTTGATTTCATCTGCATTTTCCACCCTCATCTGCTTTTCTATTTGTTCTCTCACATTATACATTGTGTTTTAGTGCAAATGCTTTGTTTTGGTGTCTTTGGATGACCAAGCTTATTTTGGTTGATGGCTATTACATTTGTTTCATGGTCCTGTTTTAATAAGAAATGTCCATCTGATCTAATACTGCTAAAGAGAAAAGCCCTCAACTCAGTTTTTTTTCATCTGACTCTTAATCATTAAGAGGGTTAAAGATTTACCAGTAACAGATTAAGATTAAATCCTGCTACTTGTCAAGTGTAAGATAATTCAATGAGCTTAGTGGTTTTTGAAAAATATCTTAAATCTTAAACTACATATATATATATATGTTTTTCCGACTTGACTAGACAAGTTGGAATCTGAGCTGGGTTTTACTACCAAATATATTGACCTAAAAGCTGACTTTACACCTTTTAATTTTTTTTAATTACCTAGATATGAGCAAGTATCTTTGTATGAAACAGCCTAGAAGGCATTCAACTTTGTATCTAGGTAAGGCAGGTTTATCTACGTAGCGCAATTCGGACTCAAGTGCATTATTTGACATTAATATAAAAATATATTGACTAAGTTCAAGTTGCAAACCATTAGAGCTCATCTGTAATGTTCTATATTCTTATACCACAAGGCTTTTAGTCAAAATGTTGCTGCCAATTGAGCTTTGGTCATCTACTGCTGCCTTTTATGTTGCATTTATTTTAATTGATCAGTGTGATCAAAATACTCAAGAATTGGCTGTAAATGTTACTCTGATTTGTTTTATCTGTGCATGTTTTGGGCTTGCTGTCATATTTTCATTTCCTTGATTTTTATTAACTTTTTGTCTTTTTCTGTATGCTTTTTGTTCCCTCCATCTTTATCAATCATTCATTCATCTTCTTTGCTTCTAACACACTTATTACATTCCTTGTGAATTTGCTGGGCTGGCTGTTAATCACACTCAGCGGGTTTCATAAAATCCCCCCTCTCTCAGATCAAACTAATCGACGACAGTGCGGAGCTGCACTGTGAGGTAGTAGGAAACCCCATTCCCGAGGTGCAGTGGTGGTTTGTTGAAGGCGAGGAGTCCAATGAGACTCTCACCCAGCTGTTCGATGGGGCGCGAAATGAGCGCGTCAGAATAAATGCCACATACATAGCTCACGCCACCAGCACCATTCACCTCCTCAGCCTCACTCTTGACGACACGGGCATGTACGAGTGCCGCGCTTCCAACGACCCCGACCGCAATGATCTGAAGAAGACGCCCAAAATCAAGTGGATCCGCTCGCAGGCAAACATTATTGTGATTGAAAGTGAGTGGAAGAGGAGGGGAAAAAATAAATGAATGAGGAGACGCTCATCGAAGTAGCTGTTAGCTCCTCGTTAGTGGAATCCTGGACGTCTACTTCCTGCCCTGTTTTCCTGGTTCAGTATCCTCTCAGTCCCGCTCCCATCTAGCACATGCTCCCCCTTTCTCTCCTAAGAAACTCCAAGGTTGCCCTGTAGTTGACTGAACCTGGTTTCAGAGTATAGCCCAACTGCTCCTTTAATCCTGCATCACCTGATGGCAAAGTATGCATTTAATCTGATACCCCCCTCTTTGCCCCACTCCTCATTTCAAGACTTAAAGTGCCATTATAATCAGGGCTTTCTTGCTCATAATACTGGTCATAAGGCTTGAAATTTGCAAATGGCCTCAATAGGACAATGACTGTGGTTAACTAGGATAACCGGGTTTAGAAAATGAATGGGGGGGGGATCTTTGCTCAATTTCAAAAGGGTGTCGGATTACTTCATTAGTGCTGCTTCTCTGTAGATTTGGCATTATCCTTAAATGATACTAACATTGTAAATGCCTCTTAATGCTTGTAGACATTCTTGTTGCTTATAGCCCGCCGTACTATAAGCACAGAAGATGGCAACGAGTTATTAAACAGGCTCTCAGCCATTGGCAGTGTTCTGCCTTGAGGCCCAGTATTATGTCTTGCAATTGAAGCAAATTGAAACAAAATGGTACAAGTATTATATACATAACCACAGCTTTTTGGGAGTGAAACTTATTCTCCCAGATGTTGCTTCTTCTGCATGTATTTACCAAAAACCTTTCTCCCCTTGTGACCTTTTTGTAGTTTCACTAAATCAAATCAAATGTTTCTTGGTGGTTGACGCTTTAACCTCCCGATAGTGGTTTTTATATTTGTATAGGGGGGGAAAAAAAGCTGAAGGATTTGTCTTATTCCCCTCTCTTTACCTTGCAGGCCCACAAGTCAGTGCTGAACCGTCTGAGGTCAGCAACCAAACGTCTGCCGTTCTCACCTGCAACATAACAGATTCCAGCCTTCCCATTAAGGGTTCCTACTGGACACATAATGACAAAGTCCTTGATAACTCAAAGTCCTCTTCTAAATACGCTTCATACAAGTAAGAAACTCTTCTTCCTAAGATTACTGAAGTGGATGTGTCCAAATGTTGCTTTTGATTGATTGAAACATTTTACTGTCCATTACTTTTGCTTGCTTTGTTTTTTCCACCTCCCTCTGTAAGGCGTTCTGTATTAGCAGCAGTGTTATGGGTTTCAGTGAGCCATTCACGACTCTTGATTAGTGGGGAGGTGGACCGTGCAGACATGCAGCTTTGCTGGTGCTCTTGGCAGCAGGGATGAGAGCCGCTAGCAGTGTATTGTCTTGCTCTGACCTTAATTCTCCATTTTAGAGGGAAGGCAGGACGGTAGCCCCAAACAAAGCGGGACTTTGATTAACCGGAAACTTGAAATATTTAAGCAGACAAGCGGCTTTAGATTCTCACCCAGCTATTGAGCATAAACTGCACTCTGTGGTTTTTTTTTTTTTTTTTTTTTTTTTTTTTTTTTTTTGGGGGGGGGGGTTCTACTTGGCTGAGTGGAAAAGCTAATCATCATGAAAGTAGCTACAGCTTTAGTCAGTTTTTGCTTTGATTCGCAGTGCTGGAAAAGAAAATACATTTCCATGTTTAACAATCAGTGGTGCATTGTTTGGTCTCTTAGTTTGGAGAAGATCACCTATCAACAGTCTGGACACTATGAATGTGTGTTTGAGACTGAGACTGGGTCAAAATTGAAGCGGGCCATTGAGGTGAAAAGTAAGTGAAAATGAATGCATCAGAATTTCTTCAGATGTTAAGTTTATCTATATAATCAGGAATAAATGACTATATTTAATATACTTTTTTTTGTTTTCTTAAACAGCACTTCCTCATGTCTCAGCCTATAAGCGCTCAGAGCACGGTAATGAGAATGACAAAAGTGTGCTCACTTGTGTTGCTCATGGTTACCCCCTTCCCACTGATTGGATGTGGTATAAAGAGGAGGGCGGCGAACAAAAGGTGGGAATACAGTGTTTTTAACGACTCGATGCAGAAAGAAAATTATTCCTTTAGATTAAGATGGTCTTGACGAATATTTGTTCCTCTAAATGTGGTCAACAGCCAATTGTTAATGCCACTGAGAGATACGAGATCAAGAGCACCCCTAACAAGACCATGCTGACCATTGAAGACCTGAACATCGAGACCGACGGTGGATCCTACCTCTGCTATGGAGCCAATGAGCTCGGCCAAAACAAGGACGCGATCTTTCTCCGTGTCCGGAGTCGCCTGGCTGCTCTCTGGCCCTTCCTTGGCATTGTGGCCGAGGTCATCATCCTTGTGACGGTCATCTTCATCTACGAAAAGAGGAGAAAGCCTGATGACATCACTGATGGTATGTATTTCGACTTTTTCTACAAGCGCCCAGAAATTTAAATACGATGTCTGAAATCCAACCTGCAAAGAGCAGAAGTATGACATTTCCAGTTTGCTATGGTTTTACTGCAAAGTGTTAAAATGCTTTTTATGTTTTTAATTTTTCCCTGCAAGAGTTTTTAATTTTTTTTTTTTTTTTTTTTTTAATGAATGTTTTGTTCTCAAACATTCAAATAGAACTTTTCAGAAGAAGTTCTATTGGACACTTTCAATGTTTTATTTTTTTCTAAGAATTTAGGAGAGATTGTAATTTTTCCTAGTTAAGTAGCGCTTCAAATTATGCCTAGTAATTTCTCACTCTTTTTAAAAAAAGTTTTGCTTGTTTTAATAATGGTGATAAAAGTGTATCCCATCTGTTAGCTTTATCCAGAGATGTTCTACTGATTTTATTTTATTTTAACAGTCTCTACTTTTTAAGAAATATTCATTTGTTACTTAAAGGTACAGTTACAACTCTGTGGTTAAATCGTCTCGCCTTAACATATTAATTGAGCACTATGAATATCTGGGGTTAACTCTATGCAAAAACCAAGCTGAAGGGAAAACGTAAAGACATCCCAACAAATAACCAAAAATATCAGTGCAATCAGATTTTGAAAAGGCAAGGAATTGCCTTTTTTTCTTTCCACCTTTGTGCTTGAGCAGTCTTGTAAAATTCCAAAGTAAATATGTAAAGATTTATTTGTAATTTTAACTTTTTGTCTGGGAAAAAGTCTTTTATTGATTTAATGTCTATTCTGGCATCTACTGGACCCTGAAGGCAGCTGAACATGGGAACTCTACATGCCAATTTCAGATGTTTGGTGCAGCTAAACTGTAGTGGGATTTCTCAATTTTAAATGCTATCAAACCTATAAGTTACTGTCACTTGTGATTCTATGGGTTTTCCCAATCCCTACAGAACTGGGGTTTAGATGGCGTTAAGTTCAACAATCAAGACGAACGTTCAGGAAGAGGGAAGAAGAACATGCATTTTAATTTGTCAATGTTGTCTTTAGTTTTGTCATTATTTACAATTTTAATGTAGTTCATGAATTGGCTTCTACTGCTGTGTAAACAATCTGTTATAGAACCTTTTTTATTTTTATTTATTTTTATTTTTTTTTTTTTTTTTACATTTTTGACTTCTCTTTTCGCTGCTGATTTTGCATTTTGGTAAGTGAACAAAAACTGCATGTCAGACTGAAGTGGTTGAGCTGAGATGGCCGCGTGGGGGACCAAAAAAAAAAACGCTATGGGAGTCTGAATGAACTGCTTTCATAGTAACCACTTCTAAGAGGAATGTGCTCAAAGATTTGGTCACTCTTTCATTGGCGCTGAATGTTGTACAGAGCAAGCTTCAAATATTCACTTTCACTTTTTTGGTTTTACCTAAACTCTAATGTTTTGTTTTGAGCCAATGAAAGAGTCGGATGAGACACTTGAAGTAGTGTATTGGTTTGACATGACGCCGTGTTGGTTTAAAAGTAAAGGAACCAGCGACTTGTTTGCATGTGTTCTGCATCTTGTACTTAATGCATGTCGACTGCGAGGCAACTCTCGTGAGAACCGATCTATGCCATTCACCGCTCGGCCACAGAGGAACCCTACTCTCTTTATTGTTTTTATCTTGTCAATACATGGTGTCGCTCAGGTGTGAAAATTCACTATACATTGCCAGGATGTGTGTTAAGCTGTTTCAGCTGAAGAATACAACCGTTGCAGTGTGTTATCTCTTGCTTGTATTGCATGAGCGTCTGTGATGCTTAGGGTTGCGTTGGGACGGTGCGTTAAAAGTTGAGTGCCAACTGACGTGTTTAAATGTTATTGGAGATTGGCTGAAGCAACAGAATTGTCAAAATTACATTTGATAAATGTTTTTTTTATTATTATTCTCCAACACAAATGATTCCAGTTGAACTGGTTAATAGATCACCATTGTATGATTATAGTTGCATCGTTCATTGTCAGAAATGCTCCAGATGGACATGTGTATTCATGTGTAATTGAATCGGTCATGCCATTGCAGTCATGTTGGAGGTTGTCATTAATACCATTTGCTACAGTCATTGGTTAAAATGGTGTAGACATGTCTCGCACTACTCGGCTGTAAACTGCTATTAACTTTTTTTTTCTTCTTCTTTCCTTCCCTTCTCTCTCCTCAATGACTAACATCTTGCTTGTTCAGACGATGACTCAGGAGCTGCTCCTCTGTAAGTACAGTCACATCTTGCTGTATTTTTTTATTATTTTTTTTTCTAGAAGAGCGCTCATGCTTGTCTGTCTTCCAGGAAGAGCAATTCTACTACAAACCACAAGGACAAGAATGTGAGGCAAAGAAACGCAAACTAAGAAAATGAAGGAGGTATGTGGAGTTGTTTTAAGCAACTTACTCTGCAGGGGTTTTTTAATGTAAAAATATATGCTGTCTTGCTAAAGCACTTGTACATAGCTGTAAAACAGGAGTGCATTAAATGGAAATTTCAATAAAATGTTTTTTTTTCTGTCCCCTCTTATTTCTAGATGGATGTCAAGTTGGCACTCCAGGATTCAACTGTTGTGTGGCACATTATGTTGTGCAATACAATTTTTAAAGTACCTTTTTGTGCTTGAGTGTTGTTTTAGAATAATTTTCCTTTTTTTTTTTTGTCTTGGGTTTTTTTTTATGCTTAATTTTTAACATTGTGCAGCCAGGATGTAGTGTGAAACAACCCTTTCTGCTTGAGGCCATGTGACAAATATTGCATGAGTTTTAAAGCTGTTCTAGCCAAGCGTGTGGTGTAAAAAAAAAAATACATGAGAATGCATAGTTTTGTGATCTTCAGTTTTTTTTTTAATGCTCAAGCTTCCTGCACAGGCCTATCATATTGCCACATTTTAATATCCGATTTGATTTGGAACACTCACTTGTGAAGAAGCACAATGTTTCTCTTGTACTTTTGATCCAGATACTTGCCATCCTTGTTTTAAAACGCACATTTACTGGAATTCATGTATGATTTGCTGCAACCCCTCAAATGTTACTTTGCAGAGTTTATTACTTTGCCTTAAACTGCTTTTCATCTGGGTTCTTTTTTTTTTTCCTCTTTTTTTTTTTAAACCTGAAAACATTGGCTTAGATCTGAGGCTTTAAATGCATTTCACAATTTGCTAACGTTCAGTGTCTGACAATTGTTTTTTTATTTTTTGTTTTGTTTTAGATTTGTTTTCCCCTCAGATTAAAATTGGGGCTCATGATGTTGCTCAGTTAACCACCCTGGTATAAGAGGATTATTTTGGACCAAGTGCAAAATGCAACTTCAGTAATTTGCACGCATTAAAAAAAATAAATACTACTGAATTTCTCTTCTTCTTGTGATCTGAAACGGTTACCTGATTGTTGAATGGTTTTCTGTCCTCTTCACTGTGTAGATAATTCAGAAGCCATATATTCCATTTAACCTGAACAACGTGGTGATTGAATGTTACACTATAGAGTTCAAGATTTAAAGACTTAGCCAGAATTGTGTAAAGTGCTGTACCTTCCATCAACATGGAATACCATCCTTTGTACAACTTGCACAAACTGAAATAAAGATATTGAAATTTAAAACTGTCCTTTACTCTGAAAGTTTTAATTTGGCTCCCATTATGAGCCTTCTCCTTTAGATCCATCATTGCTATTTTAGTTCAAAAAATGGCAAGATGTCAAAAAGGTATATTTTTGACATCTCACAATTTGCAGTTAATGGTAAATTTTAAAGTGCTGCTTTTATGTTAATGCTGGACTGTAAGATGTCAATTTCTGCATTGACTGGAGCTTCCCTCAAAACTTGCCGCAGCATTTTACACATTCCAGACTGTACTGAATGGTCAGCTGCTGTCATGACAACTGAGGCTCGCAAGACCAGCTCTGTCCACACCTCTAGATGGACTGGATAAGATTCATGGAGTCGGTCTGCCTTCTGAGAGGGGCTAAAACAAAGGTAGGCTGAAGGCAGCTTCTGTATTGGTAGACAAACGTCAAGCTTGATTGAGCTGGTGACTAAATTATGTGACTCAAAATGCAAAGTTGACCAAGTCTGATGAAATTGAAGACTTGTTGAATCCACTTGTAAAGTAAGCTATTAACAAAAAAGAAAATGGTGTGATGTGCATGTTAAAATTAATGCATGGCTAAAATTATAAACCCTTTGAGGGTTCTATGCATTTCCTAGGCCTGTAGAGCCATTTTATAGCAATCAAATAATTGTTGCCTTCAGTTTAACAAATGCTACAAATTGAAAACTAGGGGCTATACAAAAGTTGGTTGTTTGTTTTTCTTAGTTTTGCAAAAAAAAAAAAAAATTGGAGCTTTTCACCTGATGAAAAATAGATGTGCCTATTTTGAGGATTTTTTGTGATTTTAAATCCAAATAAACTTGGGGTGTGGCCCAAATTTTACACTCTCTTCATACGCCTGAAAATGGCTGCAAACAGATGCACTATTGTCCAACAGTCTTTGACCCTGAGTCAGAACCGGAAGTGGAGCCTCCTGTGCAATTCAAGCACACAGCCAACAATTTCTGAATGTTAAGTCAATAAAACACCTGCTATTTCCAGATGCCATTGTACAGCTAGGGCTGGACATAACTGCGTACCAATACTATCGATGTCGAGGTGAGTATATGATCAATGCTTGAGGGATGAGATCAGTATTTCAGTTTGCAGTTTTTCTACATAATGTCTACTTGAATTTCATGCCAGCGAGTATGGAGGAAAACACTAAATATCAGAAGCTTGCATTTTGAATTTGAGAGCAGGATTTTATAATTTGGTGAAGTTTGCACTGAACTTCTGCTTTCTTTCAAATACAGTTTAGTTCCCCCACAAGCACAGCTTCACTGCTTCACAAACATTCTGCATATGGCACATCTCTCTCACTGAGCAATCCGTGATCAGAGGTGCTATGTTGGCATAACATCTAAACTGTCTATTCAGACACCTGAAAAGATAACTCAAAATATACACTTATGCAAAGATGCATATACCTCAAACCTGACATATTAACATGGCTGAATGTAATGGCCTGGTTGTGTTGACTATTAAAGGGGAAATTGCATCCCTATGTAGGTTACCTGCAGATTACAATTACAGACTCAGTTATCCTTAAAAAATAAGACGGATATTAGCAAATACCTGACGGAACCTCAAGTCTCTCGGGGTCATCATGCAAACTACTTCTCAGAACGTTTATAAACGGCATAATGAGAAGCATTGTTGTGACGATGTGCTGAAGGCGGAGTGTCGCTAAGAGCAGGATCTTCTTAAAGACACGGGCCAGTTTCAAAGAGTCAAAATGCGAAGTCAGTTTTCTTGAGTCATGTTCGATATGCACTTCATTTTTAGAACTGAAGGTAACAGTTACTTGATTGTGTAATAAAATAGCACAGTGCCTGAGAAAACGTATCGGAAAATGCATAATACTGCCCCTTTAGTAATCAGGAGGTTTTAGAAATGTCTGGGTTTGTTTTTTTTTTTTTTTTTTTTTTTTTTTAAAAAAATTTTTTTTGGGAAACAGGTTTGGGTTTTTTTTTAAAGCCTTTGGGGTGTTT